AAAAAAAAAAAAAAAAAAAAGTCTTCCTTTTCCTGCATGTATCTGTGTGAGACCAGACTTTCTTCAAATGCTTCAACCAAGCCAGCAAATAGAAACAGAATGCAGAAGCAGATATAAGAATGCAGCTGATTCTTTAATTCAAACATTAAAGATACTTGCAAAAAATATAAAATACCATTTTTCTCACTTTCTTTTTTTTGAAAAAGTTACTTTTCAAAAATTGTCACTCAGATAACATATAATGGGCCTATTATTTTTAAATGAATAAATAACTTAAAATTTCTCCATTTTTATTTCTAATACAGTAAATATTGATAAGTATAACCCACATAAAACCAAAGCTCATTGGGCACCTTTATTTTTAAGAATGTAAATGGATTCAAGACCAGAAAGTTGAGAACTGTTCTAGGTCACATATGGAGATAATTTTCCACATTTTGACTTTGATCTAACAATAGCACGTTAAGTCAGATAAAGAGATAACTACCTAACATTGTCTTTATAAAACAAATAGGTGAGATTAAAAATTCTGGCCTATACACACTAATAGTAGGAATAAAGCCAAAAGACAAACTGCAAGAGAACTCACATCTGGAAAAGCACAGTAAAAAATGCCCAAATCTAGCAAAAGCAATACTTCTATCTAAAGCAGTATCTATACATTTATGAGCTGATATAAGAAATACTACCTTCTCTTGGCTTACTTCCTTTTCATCTGCTGTTTGTAAGGGAGTAGGAATATCACACACACACTTATTTTTTCGTCTATTCTTCCGTTTTTGGCGTTTCTTTTCTTGCTTCAATTCTCTTACTCGTTCCTCCTCTGAAAACTCCTCACAAAGTTGTTCCAATCGGCTAATACCCTGTACCTTTTCCACAGTCATCTATTATAAAAACAAAGTTGAAAATGAATACTGGTCAGAATTTCCCTTATTTTCCATGGAAATTCCCATTTCTTAAATTTAAATGACATCAGACATACAGAACTAATATTTCATGAAGCAATTTTGCCAGAGAATCCCCATAAAGAATCTTAAATTTCAATATCTTAAATGATAACTGAGTCTTAATCTACTCAGAAGTCAACATACAACTAGTTTCTATAGGAAGGCACACTTACACACAATCCTATTCCAAACCAGCAATACTCATATTCTAGTTTTAAATATCAGAATTTTAATACAGCAAAGTAAACATTCATTCATTTCTTCTCATAATGGAAAGACTACTTAACCTGATTAGATGACCTAATCTCTGAAGGCACAAACATGCAAATAGAAAAGGAATAAGAAATCTATTCACCAAGAACTAGTACAAATCTCCCAGACTCCCCAGAACAAGGTGCTTAAGTTCATGGACAGGCTTCTGGAAAAAGCATTTATAGCTTTCATCCCATTCTCAAAAGGGACTGGTAACCCAGTTTAAACAGTTACAAAACTAGTATGTACAAAATATTCACTAGCCAAATATTTATGTTCTAAAGAGTATAATTGAAAAAACTATTACCAAATCACAAGCAATAAACCCAATACTAGCATTAGAAAGAGGCTTCAGTAGGCTTCTAAAAAGTAGTACTTATATCATGGCATTCAGACAGCATTTACTTCATACTATCGGACTACAGCAGGCAAACTGGGACTCATTAAAGGCTTCTATTTTTGTTGCTTATTTTTTGGCTGCTTTTAACATTTCGTTACTTATGTTTCATAGCAGCATGTTGTTAATCATCAACTTCTGTTTTCTACTGTGAGAAAGTCTAAAAACCAAGGCTGGAAGAACAGGATTAAAACAAAAAAAAATCCACGAACTTCTTCTAAATCCCAGTTCCCCAGAACCCCTCCTTACCCAAAGCCATGAAATTTTATCTGTGGATTAGAGCCCTCTGAGGCACTGGTGGCTTACATTAATATTCCACCCAGTAAATTGACTAAACAACCTTGGACACTGAAGCAGCCCACTGTTCTTACCTCAAAACTCTTGCGTAAAGCATCAACACCAAGATAGAAAAGCATCTGCCATGTCTGCTCTTCTGCCCGTAGTTTTTGCCAAATTCGATGTAGTCTTTCATAAAGATGAATTCCCAAGCAGGTCAGAACTTCTTCTTGGGCTATATCTATTGTCTTAGCATGCCTTTCTCTTCGCCTAGAAAGGAGAATCACACATTAATTCCGAATATCCTTAACTGAAACAATAAAAGATGGATAACACACCTGCAAATTCAGGCTTTAAAAACAATTTGACTACCTAATAACAACCTAATAAAAAAGTTATACATTTACACTCAATTAACATATTTAAATATATTATGTTAATATATATGTTGTAAAAATGCAAGCATACATGTATATAACCAATCAGAAATATACATGCAAGTAGAACTCAGTCCTAATATTGCTAAATATAAGGTAATTCAGGAACTGGCTCTAAAGAGGTTTTAGGGCACATAGAAGTCATATGTAAATGTCCAGCTCACTTTCATCTTCCAATTATAGCAAAGTTCCTATTTGGTTTTTGTTTGTTTGTTTTGAGAAGGGAATGGAGAAAAGCAATGCCAAAGTGATTCAATCATGGGCAAAAGCCCTCTAGGCCAGTCCTTAGAAGTGTTGGCAGAACTTCAGTGATAAAGAGGTTTTGAACTCTAAAATGCCTAGCAAAAAGTAGGCACTCAAATGAGGATGGATACTTTAAACAGAGGAAAATGGGTTTGATTTAGTCTATGGACAACTTTTTCTGATTTTCTCAATAAAGCCAGAGAAGACATTTTAGGTTCTTACATAATTTAATAATAATTTATACAGTTCATGAATTACATTCATTAAAGCCTTTTTTAACCCCCTGCTGCAAAGATCTCACTTGATTGTGAAGAGAATTTAAACATGATAATGCATGAATGGAGAAGAAAAATACCTTCTAATCATTTTCAAATGAAAATGATAATCTATAATAATGAAAGCCAAAAAAAGCCTGCCTCACTTCAAGCAAGAAGGACCAGAGGACTGAACCAATACCAGAGAACAGTTTTTCCCTATTTTTACTCAACTAAGAAATGCATATTTTAAAGAAAAGCAAAATCTTTCCAGGCACACTTTAATTTATACATATATCATATGTACTGAGGCAGAAGGTGATGGAAATAAACTTTCAGTAATAAAATGAAGCAAAGCGCTAGATAGCCCATTCTAGCAAATTACATACTCATACCCTCCTGCGAACTCTGGCTCAGCACGACCCAAAAGATGTGCAATGAAGTCTGTTTCACAGCAAACATGTATGTGTCGTTCATGTGGACAGCATCGCAAGCCTTCATAAAGTGCAGCACAGTAGCCCTTTTCTTTGCTGCAATCAAGTTCACCAATAAGGATATTGTATGCACGGAGGACTTTATTTTTACAATCAGTGCAAAACCTGGTGAAAAGAAAAATCTGAAGATTAAGAACTGGCTGTGTAATTATTTCATGTAGCCCATAACAGCATACTAGACAGTGGCACTCCCCGCCCCATCTAGAGCATTAAAAAAAGCTTTCCATACACACACTGAAAATATACACATGTAAGGTAAACACAAATTTAGGGATTGCACAAATATAGCTAGATCTCCATTTGCAAATTATTTTTAAAATAGAGAAGGACATGGCCTAAAAGAAATGAAGCAGATATATACCTGTTACTTCATATAATACATGTCCAGAAAATATTTGTTGCCAGTGACTAGCAAATCTTCACTTCAAGAGCTATTTGTGCAAGTCAGAAATAAAACAAGGGAGGCAGCAAACCAATGACTCTTAACTCCTTCCAGCCACTGAAAACAGTTGGTATCTTCGGCTAGTAAACCTTGATTCAAGTTTTTACTACAACATTTTAATACATCACTAGCAAAGCATCTGGGGGGGGGGGGCATGGAAAAGTAGTATAAGTACTTTTTAATTTACTAGTAATTTCCAAAATGTCAAATTCTTTCTTCCAAAAAATGCATATTTCTCAGTACACAGACATAACATAGACAATATATACATAGAAATGTGGTTTAAACTTAAGTGTATACAATGTGACAAAAGTAGAGTAGAGCTTGTGAATGTAGGGGCAGAAGAAATCTTTTGGAAACCAAACATTAATCAAAGAAAAAAGAATAGAGCCTGGTTTCTTTATCTTTGAATTCCTGAAACAAGGAACAACTTGGTCTGGTAAAAAAGCCAGGCTCAAAATATTAGTAACTAGCTCTCTGAGAAGTGCGGTGAAATAAGAAAATTTTTATCTCTTTGATTTAAATTCATCTCCCAAGTGTGTTCATTTACACTGATGACTTCAACCAACATGTCTATAAAGATGACTGGTGAGTCTACAGCTTTGTTCAAGTCTTTGCTCTTCTCTGAGGGCCAGACCCACATTGAAAAATGGTGGGACATCACAGATGTCCAACAGGCAACACTTCAAACTCACGGCCCAAGGGCAACAATGTTGTCTTCCTATGTTCCCTCCCAGTCCCCGTTTAAGAATATCACCATTCACAAAGTCACCTAGGCTAGAAACCTCAGTTAATTCCAACTTCTTTCTAGGTCCCCCTATTAAGGGTGGAAACAACTGGTATCAATTCTGTTTTTCTTATATCTGTTGTAGTTCCCCTCTTTTCAAGTCCCTTTGCTCTGGTTTAAGGTGCCTATTTTTTAAAAAGCTTAACTGGCTTCCCTGTTTCCGCTCTTCTTAGCACCAATGCATCTCTCACACAAAAATAATTTTTCTAAAATAAATCTGATTATCTCTCTCAGCTTAAAAACCTTCCTCTGGGGCCGGCCCGGTGGCGCACTGATTCAGTGCGCCGCTTGGGAGCGCAGTGGCGCTCCTGCCGAGGGTTCAGATCCCACATATAGACCGGCCGCTCACTGGCTGAGCGAGGTGCGGGCGCAGCACCGAGGTTTGCGATCCCGTTGCCGGTCCCGGTCCAGTACGGGCGCGACACTGAGGGTTGCGATCCGTTGCCGGTCACGAAAAAAGACAAAAAGGAAAAAAAAAAAAAACCTTCCTCTGCATTCCTATTCTTTTTTTTTTTAAGATGACCAGTAAAGGGATCTTAACCCTTGAGTTGGTGTTGTCAGCACCACGCTCTCCCAAGTGAGCTAACCGGCCATCCCTATATGGGATCCGAACCCATGGCCTTGGTGTTATCAGCACCACACTCTCCCAAGTGAGCCACGGGCCAGCCGCCTATTATTTCTGATTTACACTTACTATAGTATTTACCCTTATACTGCCATGCATTAATATGATGCACATGTCTTTCCAGCCCAACAATAGATCATTGTGTTTCTTCAAATGAATACAGTCCGCACTCCACATCCATGGGTTTCTGCATTCGCAGATTCAACCAATCACAAATCAAACATATTTGGGAAAAAGCCCACAAACAATAAAACATAACAAAACATGGTTGGAGCACAGTATCGGTAGCACCAAGGTCAAGGGTTCAGCTGTCCATAACAGCCAGCCACCAAAACTGCCCTCCCCGCCACCAAAAAATAAAAAATAATACAAATTAAAAAAAAAACAGCAACAACATTTAGGAGAAAACTTTAAATTTGGGCTGCCAGCAGGGAGGGGCAGTGTAGTGTGGTTAAGAGAAGAGGCTCTGTGGTTGAGCCACCTAGATTCAGCTTCCACGTCTGCCTTTTAGAATTGCATGACCCTCTGGAAGTTTCTTAACGAGTCTCAGTTTTCCTCATCTGTGTAATGGGGTAAAGGTATCTACTCTATAAAGTTATTGTGAAGCTTAAAATAATCATAATAATAAAATTAAATTAAAAAACAGCATAATTATTTACACTGTATTAAGTATTACAAGTAATCAAGAGACAATTTAAAGTATACAGGAAGATGTATGTACATTACATGCAAATACTATGCATTTAATATAAGGGGCTTGACCATCTGTGGATTTTGGTGTCTGAAGGGGTCCTGGAACCAATATTTGGCAGACACCAAGGGATGACTGTATATGTTAAATTAAAGGTTCTAAGCCCACTTGGTAAACAGAGGCAAGAATGCTGACAAGTAATATCATTATATTTCACTAATGCTTTAAAAATGGACACAGGAATAAAAAAATTAACTCAAAATGGATTAAAGACCTAAATGTTAAGACCTTAAACTATGATATTCCTAGAGGAAAACACAGGGGGAAAGCATTGGACTGGACTATGATTTCTTGGATATGACACCAAAAGCAGAAGTAACAAAAGCAAAAACAGACAAATGGGACTACATCAAACTTAAAAACTTCCAGGTGGCAAGGCAAACAAAGTGAAAATGCAACAAACAGAATGTGAGAAAATATTTGCAAACCATATATTGGATAAGGGGTTAATATCCGGAATATAAAAATCTACAACTCAACAACCAAAAAACAAATAATTAAGGAGGCCGGCCCATGGCTCACTTGGGAGAGCGTGGTGCTGACAACATCAAATCAAGGGTTAAGATCCCCTTACTGGTCATCTTCAAAAAAAAAAAAAAAAAACAATTAAAACATGGGCAAGGATTTGAATAGACAATTCCAAAGATGACATACAAATGGCCAACAAGCATATGAAAAGATGTTCAATATCGTTAATCAACAAGGAAATGCAATGACATATCACCTCACACCCATTAGGATGACCACTATCAAAAAAAAAAACAAAAATAACAAGCGCTGGCAAGGATGTAGAGAAATTAGAGCCTTTGCAAACTACTCATAGGGATATAAAATGGCACAGTCACTATGAAAACTGGTATGGAGGCTCCTCAAAATAAAAAGAAAACTACCATATGACCCAGCAACCCCACTTCTGGGTATATATCCAACGGAACTTGAAGAGGTATTTGCATACCTATGTTCACTGCAGCATTATCCACAACAGCCAAGAAGTAGAAGCAACTTAAATGTCCAACAACAGATGAATGAAGAAAATATGTTATATACATATAATAGGACATTATTCAGCTTTAAAAAAGAAGAAAATCCTGTCAAATGCTACAACATGGATGAGCCTGAAGGACATTACACTAAGTGAAACAAGCCAATCACAAAAATTCAAATACTGCATGATTCCACTTATATGAGGTATCTACAATAATCGAACTCATACAAACAGAACTAGAATGGTAGTTGCCTGGGGCTGTGGGGAGGAAGAAACAGGAAGTTGCTGTTCAATGAGTATAGTTTCAGTCAATGCAAGATGAAAAACTTCTAGAGACCTGTTGTATAATGTGCATGTTGTCAACAATGAAATGTACACTTATAAACTGTTAAGGTAAATTTATGTTTTATGTTCTTTTATCACAATTTTTTTTTTTTTTTTTAAAGATGACCAGTAAGGGGATCTTAACCCTTGTCTTGGTGTTGTCAGCACCACACTCAGCCAGCGAGCGAACTGGTCATCCCTATATAGGATCCGAACCTGTGGCCTTGGTGTTATCAGCACCACACTCTCCCGAGTGAGCCACAGGCCGGCCCTATCACAAAAAAATTTAAAAAGTATAGTCAATAGTCTCAATTAGGGGAGGAAAATGAAAACAGAAATAAAAACAAATACTTCTACATTTTCAGGTTATAAATGGTATGGCTACAGTTTTAAGTAAATGAATGGTCAAATGTCAAATAACAATAAAACTTCAAATATTTCCCTTTTTTACCACTTAAAATCATTTGATTATATAATTATAAGCACAGGTAAATAGTAAATTAAAAATAGTACATGGAGGGCT